GGAGGCAAGCGAACCCCGCGCCGCGGGACGCTGAGAGTCACGCGCGGCGTCAGGTTTGGGGCCTGGGCGCCGTGCTGCGTGGGGGAAGCTGGCGACGGCACCCAGGACGCTACGATTCTCGCAGCTTCCCGTGTGGGTCCGCAGCTGTTCCAGAGTGAAGCGCTTTTACAAAGCAAAACCCAATCCCTTCGTGAAGCGTCCAAGCTTTTTCCCGACGTGGTGCGCCGTCTGGGGCGCGGCGAGGCCGGTCCCGTTCCGCGTGGCATCCCTGGGGCCGCTCGCGGGACGCATCCGTCCAGAAGCTCGGGGAGCCCAGACCGCCCACAGTGGCTGCCCTCCCGCCCCCTGCAGCCCACCGGGCGGCCGCACGAGCCTGCGGTGGCGGGGCCTCCCCCTTCCGCAAACCTCCGTTGTCCGCGTGAGGATGAGAGCTGACTTCCATGGCGGCTGGTCGCTCAGAACGCGAAGGCAGGCACAGAGGCCCTCAAGCCTGGTTTGGAAGCCCCAGGGCGTCACCTCCGCAGCATCCGGTTGGGCAGAAAGAGCCCAGAGCGAATTCCGGGGGAGAAGTGACAGGCTCCTCCTCTTTGGGAGGGGCCGTTGGTGGCCACCTGTGGCATCGAGTGACCACAGCCTTTCCTCTGGCCGCTGCAGTCCCTACTCCTCCACATGAAACATGGAGCCAGTCACTTCCACCTCAAGGCCGCCCACAAAGCCCAGGACCTTGTCATCTGCACCAGGCCCAGATGCAGGTGACCGTCCAGAGCTGTGGGACATGCTTGGCCGTGCCGACGTGCAAGTCACTGGAATTCCAGGAAAAGAAAGAGCGCAAAGTAAAGAAACCTTGACAAGAAAATGGCCGAGAATTTTCCGAAGAACAAAAATACGAACAGTCAGTTGCAAACCGCCTGGTCACTGATCACACACAGATCCAGGTCCGGTCAGCACACTGGAGCACACGCCACACACAAACCCAGCTGGCCAAGGGCGCAAGACTTATGACTGGTTCGAGTCATTTCGGGAAACCTCTGACCACTCAGCTGGCTGAGCAGATGCTACAACGGGGGCACACTAGGGAGGACACAGAGGTTATGAGATTAATCTAGGGAAGTCACCAAACAGCAACACAGCCACAGCAGCAAATTGGAGAGGGAGGAGATTCTGGTTTCCAGAGTTGCCACGTTACATCATCGTAAACGTCCTGTTGGAAAATACCAAACTAGCCGGGCTCGGTGGCTCAGCCCGTAATCCCGCACTTTGGGAGGCTGAGGTGAGCGGATTGCCTGAGCCTGCGGGTTCGAGACCCTCCTGGGCAACTTGGTGAGACCTCATCTCTACCATAAATCAAAAAAATTAGCCAGGTGTGGTAGTGCATGCATATAGTTCCAGCTACTTGGAAGGCAGAGGCGGAAGGATCGCCAGAGCCCAGCAGGTCGAGGCTGCAGTGGCACTGCACTCCAGTCTGGGTGACTGAGTGAGACTCCAACTCAAAAAAAAAAAAGAAAAGAAAGAAGTATAAGCATAACACAACATATAGAAAATAGTACTTCAGCCAGGTTTGGTGGCTCAGCCTGTAACCCCACACTTTGGGAGGCTGAGGTGAGTGGATTGCCTGAGCCTGTGGGTTCGAGACCCTCCTGGGCAACTTGGCAAGACCTCATCTCTACAATAAATCAAAAAAATTAGCCAGGCATGGTAGCACACGCCTGTAGTTCCGGCTACTTGGAAGGCTGAGGTGGAAGAATCGCCGGAGCCTAGCAGGTGGAGGCTGCAGTGGCTGGGAGCGGCCACTGCCCTCCAGCCTGGGCGACAGAGTGAGACTCCAACTCAAAACAAACAAACAAACAAAAAATGGCATCCTCAGCTGACTTCTCATCAGAACCCATGGAGCACAGAAGGCAACAGACGACATATTCAAAGTGCTGCAAGAAAGACTGTTGACCAAGAATTCTACATCCAGCAAAGCCGTCTTTTAAAAATGAATGGAAATGGAGACCTTCCCAGAGAAACAAAAGCTGAGAGACTGTGTCAACAGCAGGCCTGTCCCTTTCATTTCACATGAAAGGACTCTGAAAACACAACTCAAGTCCACATGAAGAAATAAAGAGCACAAGTTCTATATTTACGTGGGTAAATATAAAAGACTATAAATGTAGTTCTTCTCCTATCTAAAGATAAATGAATAAAGCAACAATTGTAAAATTGTGTTTGAACTGGCAAAAGCAAGCATTGACGAACTTGAAAATAGCTCAATTGAGATTATTCAATCTGATGAACAGGGAAAAAAGAATGAGGAAAAATGTGCAGAATATCAGAGACCAAATTAATGCTGAAAGATGTAATTTGAGCCAGCCTCGGTGACTCAGCCTGTCATCCCGCGCCTTTGGGAGGCTGAGGTGAGTGGATTGCCTGAGCCTGCGGGTTCGAGACCCGCCTGGGCAACTTGGTGAGACCTCATCTCTACAATAAATCAAAAATTAGCCGGGCGTGGTAGCACGCACCTGTAGTTCCAGCTACTTGGAAGGCTGGGCGGAAGGATCGCCGGAGCCCAGCAAGTCGAGGCTGCGGTGGCCGGGAGCGGTCACTGCACTCCGGTCTGGGCGACAGAGTGAGACTCCAACTCAAAAAAATAAATAAATAAAAGAAAGATGTAATTTGTAAAACAATAATAGCACAAAGTATTTGGGGAGTGAACTTAGCTGTATTGAAGAAAAATTTATGTATATTTTTCAAAGTAAGTTAGTATTCATCCAAACGAGATAGTTTTAAATTAAAATGTTCACTGTGATTCCTAGTGCAACAACATCAACAACAAACCCTCAGAAGATATTGTAAAAGGATCAACAAGAAACTGGTATAGAAAATAAATATAAAAGAAGATCGTAATGGAGGAAGAGAGGAACAAAGATTCAAGACAGAGAAAACAAGTAGTAGACGGGCTCGGTGGCTCAGCCCATAATCCCACACTTTGGGAGGCTGAGGTGACTGGATGGCCTGAGCCCGCGGGTTCGAGACCTGCCTGGGCAACTTGGCGAGACCTCATCTCTACAATAAATTTTAAAAAACTAGCTGGGCGTGGTGGCGCATGCCTGTAGTTCCGGCTACTTGTAAGGCTGAGGCAGAAGGATCGCTGGAGCCCAGCAGTTTGAGGCTGCGGTGGCAGGGAGTGTGCCACTGCACTCCAGTCTGGGCGACAGAGTGAGATTCCAACTCAAAAAAAAAAGAAAAAAAGAAAACAGGTAGTAAAAGGGCAGACATAAATCCTACCTCGTTAATTAAATGTAAATGGATTAAACATCATTAAGTGAAATGTCATTAAATGTAAATGGATTAAACACTCCAATTAAAAGAGATTGGCAGAATGGATTAAAAAGAAACCATGATGCCTGCAAGAGACACACTTGAGATTAAAAGACATAAGTAGACTGAAAGTAAAAAGATGGAAAAAGATATACAGGGCAAATAGTAAGCAAAAGAGAGCAGGGGTGGCTCTAACAGTATCAGACAGGCTTTTTTGCAGACACCACCACCTGGAGCCCTTTTCCATCAGCCATGGTCAACCCCACTGTGTTCTTTGACAGCACCCTTAGTGGTGAGCCCTTGAGCTGTGTCTCCTTCAAGCTGTTTGCAGACAGAGTTTCAAAGACAGCAGAAAACTTCTGTGCTCCGAGAACTGGAGAGATGAAATTTGGTTAGAAGGGTTCCTGCTTTCACAGAATTATTCCAGGGTTTATGTGCCAGGGTGGTGACTTCGCACGCCATAATGGCACTGAAAGCAAGTTCATCTATGGAGAGAAATTGCTT